ATATTAAAAAATTTAAAAGGTTTAGGCCTTGGAGAGGAATTAAGGAGTAATGACACAACGGAAGCCGTATGGTCAAACTCCACCTCCATTTCATGGAAATGGGCCGTACACCTTATGCTATTTATGCCCCAAACATCATTTATCAACACCCTGTCAAGCTTGGCCCAAAGTGCACCTTTGTTCCAAGTAAAGAACTCTCCCGTGGAGGGTGCATCTTGTAGGCAAGCCGCGACCTTAAAGTCAAAAAGGTGTTGCATTACATACGCCGTAGGAGGGGTAGGACCCACCCTCTCATCGGGCGTAGCAATGCAATTAAAATCGCCACATATCAACCAAGGTTCCCTAATTCGGTCACCAAGTACAGTGAGTTTATCCCATAAAGCTTTGCGCTCCAAGACGGTATATAATGCATACACAAAAGTAACTTGAAAAGTTATTTGTGAAGTTCGGCAAACACATTTAACATGCATAAATTGTGCATCAATCATAACTACAACACAATCAATAAAAGAAGGATTCCAACAAATAGCCATACGGCCACCTATTATTTTTTCAAAATTATTTTCACAACGCCACCCCGGCCATTTATTTAAAACGTATTTATTAAAACTGGCCGTGGTCATTTTAGTTTCAACAAAACACCACAAATTCACATTATTGGATTTAACAAAGCTAGAAATTAAATTATGCTTTGAGGTTTTGTTCAAACCTCGGACATTCCAAGCAAGGATACTAATCATCAAGTGAGATAGAAATCCGAGGTGTAGCCATCATCCCCGGGTTGAATTTGCCCTTTCCCCTTCTCACGCTCGGCCTTCCTCTTCCTTCTTTGCTTTTCTTTCAAGTATTTTTTGTTCCAACTAGTGTTGGCATCAAAAAAATCAAACACATCGTTAGTGAAAAGCAAAGTATCAAAGTCATACCAATCTTTGTTCTTCTTAACCGTTGGGAATGAGATCAAGCACGGCTCGGTAAAGAAGACCCCCGGTTCATCACATGGTACCCACTCAAGACTAGGTCCCACTTTCACGACTTTTACATCATGTGCAATGTCATCTAAGGGTTTAACGAAAATCACCCTTTTCCCGTTTTCATCCTTGAGCATGTTGGTGACTACATCATCCTCAAACATGTCGTGCATATTGCGAACTCTTCGTCCCTCCGGATTTTCAACTTGTTGCGCGACTTTCTCCCCGGTTAAAGGATCCAAAAGTGCTGCCTTCGTAAGCGGTGCCGGCAGTTTGGAGGAACTCGCACCTTCTCCTCTTGATTGCAAAGCCGTGGAAGGGATAACACTCTCCTTGGGCAGTTTTTTAGCTTGCAAGAAATCCTTGTTGTGCCTCGCATTGACATCAAAAAAACAAGCAACATTAAGAATAAAAATTTCTTTATTAAATACGTACCATCTCCTTGCACGTTTGACTCCGGGAAGTGATACAAGACAAGAGTCCGTGAAGCAAACAGCCGGTTCATCCATGCGAGGCTCCCTATGAAGGTCTCTCCCAATACTAACAATGGAAGCATGGCTCTCAATTTGGTGCCTCTTCTTAACAAACGCCAAGTGCACTCCGTCTTCTTTAGTTACAAATTTTGTAACTATATCATCAACTTCCATCTCATGTACGCTAGAAACTTGACGTCCATCCCAATCTTTATCAACAACATGCTTTTTGCCCCAAACATTTTCAACATTTTTGGGGACAAACGGGAAGACCGGCAGCTTATAGGCAGTTTGTAACCTGCCTTGTAACGGAGCGTTAGGTTGCTTCTTTTTGTAAGTGACCACCTGGAAGTTCGCCCCCTTCTCCGTTGTTACCCCCACTGTTTTTCCCTTGGTCGAGATCTCCTCAATTACCTTTTCCTTTGGCGGGTTGAGAACCTTACACGTGAAGAAGTGATGCCCAAATTTTTTGCAATGACAACAAAAATTAGGGTAGGTCTCGTATAGGACTGTTTGCACATACTCTTTGCCCGAGGGGAGGATAATTGGAAATTGGAGGGTCGGTGGCTTGGAGGCATCAATTTCAATTAGTACTCTAGCAAAACTAGTGTAGGTTTTGTCTTGAGTAACTTTATCGGTCGTAATAGGGACACCCACCATAGAGGCAATCCTCCCAATCTCATTTGCTTGCCACAAACGCATAGAAAGCCTAGGGAATTTCACCCATGTTGGCACTTTGAGGAACTCGTCACTATTTGTAGAGAAGTCTTCCGATAATTCTTTAAGGAACATAGTTTTGCCATATAGAATATATGGCCCTTCGGCTAGTACCTTGGTTCGGTCATCCTCGCATAGAAACTTGAATATGACCCAACCTTTGCTATGTGTTTTGACTTGTACCTCCACCTCCCATGCTTTGGTCATGGTATATATGGCTTTAAGTCCCGGAAACCTTCCCGAAAAGTGACCAACCAAACAATAACCCCACACCTCAATGAGTGTTGGTACCTTGAGATGAGAGAAATCTAATTTTTCCCCCGTAGGAGGGAAGTATTCAAG